AAATATACACATAACCCCCCTTGGTTAATAAATAATTTTCAACTTTACATAAGAGTATTTTTGACATTTTAGGTGACTCCGTTGAGAATGATCATTCCCGTCACTTTGATATTTTAATCCAAACCATAAGAGGGTTATGTGAAAATGTTAAACTACAGGGAGATAAAGTGGAATTTGCCCTAAAAAAAGGGATTTGGCTAAATGTTTTATAATTATTTCATATTCATGCACTGTGTAAAAGCTTTTACCGACAAAATGAGTAAAATATCTTGAATTTTACATAATCATGTACACTACATTTAGTTCACAAGATCATACAAATATAGTGGTCCAGCAGAATCCCAGTTATCAAACCCAAAGAAAGTGTCACAACTCACAACCGTTCCCAATATTCGCTACAATTAGAGGTTCAGCAAGAGGGTCTAAGCTGTAAAAAAATTTAGATATATTTTCTATAAATTTAAACTCTTACCCCACAAAACTGTGAAGCTTTTCTATGTTGGATATTACTATTAGTTTAAATATGTTAAATTTGGTCCCTCAAATATTTGGTATTTCACCTTGTTGCTCATCAATTAACTACAGGAAAGCCCCCGGGAGTTGGCAGTTTCAGCGTAAGACCAGACAGAATCCCGTTGAAAATATATAAATACATTGCGCATTATAGTCCTACCGAAGACCAACTCCATTATCACCAAAAAGTAACAGCTTTCTTCTTGAAAAAGGACCTCCATCGCGGCTCAAGCGTGAATATGCAGTTTATTGAATCAGTGAATGATACTCCGGCCTTCTTACCCCGCCAGGTGGCTGATTCCACTCCCTTCTCATCCAAATCTGTTCCTGAAATTTTGAATAAATTCTCAGTGAACCCACATTCAGCACAAGCCGAAGCTATCAAGAAAACCATAGCAGAATGCGAGGAGCCTGCAATTGAAGGGGAAGATAAGTACTGTGCGACATCTCTCGAGTCGATGGTCGATTTCACTACTTCAAAGCTCGGCAAAAATATTCTAGCATTTTCAAATGAAGCACCAAAAAATGCAGGAAAAATCCAAAAATATGGTATTGTGGATGTTTCCAAGCTGAACAATGATAAAGCAATCGTTGATGATGAATTGGTTGCATGTCACAAGCAAAACTATGTCTACGCAGGTTTTTTACTGCCACAGCTTCCAGAACATCGATGCTTATATGGTTAACTTGGTTGGTTCTGATGGAGCAAAAGTCAAGGCTGTGGTTGTTTGTCACAAGGACACGTCTTCATGGGACCCCAGGCATTTGGCTTTTCAACTGCTCAAGGTGAAGCCTGGAACTGTTCCAATCTGCCATTTCCTTCCCGGGGATCACATTGTGTGGGTTCCAAAGCACTAAATATTCCGCAGCAGCAGCTTGTTGATATCGCACGAGTGATCAATATTTGTCGCTTTGATGTTTTGTGTGTGGTCTTCTGCAGCCTGGGACTTCTATTAATTATCTTCCCATAATTGAATAAATCCTTGTTTAGTCTCGTTTCTTCTGGTTGTATTAATTATCAATTATGTCAGTGTAATATTCTCCAAATGTAAAGGTACTAGGGGAATCGAGTATTTTTATTGGTTCAGTTGTATGCAATGTTTTTAAACCCGGACAGAGGAGTGAAACGAAAAATCTTTCGATTTACGGTTCAATCGGTTCGATTTCGGTTTAAAGGTTTAATAATTTTTTATTCATTTTAGTATTAAACATTTTGAATAAAACTAAAATATTTATTTTAAAAAATAAATACTTAATAAAATCGGTTAAACCTCCCCGGTTTTGACCGGTTCAATTAATTCTTTGAATTTTTAAGTAAATCGGACCGGAGACATGATCGGTTTGCAGTTCAATCGATCGAACCAACCGATCCAATCCAATTTTCAAAATATTGGTTGTATGTAGTTGATCTGTATATCTACTATTTTACGTTGTGTACGATCATCAACATATCAAACTTCTGATGAATCTACGTCAAATACATCAACTCTTCCAGACCAACCCTGAACTCACCTACCGGTTTTCAGATCATGTAAGTACCAGTCAGGTTGTGCTAAATTCATACTGGCAAGTGTATCTGTGTTTTTTTCAGGTGAACTTTTATCTTTTTGCAGAAAGTTGACTTACCTCGTATTAACGAAACTTACCACCGAACTAACAAAAACAAAACGCTTCAGAAGTGGTTCCCGACATGAATACTACAAGATGATCGTGAACCCATGAAATTCTTGTCAAGCTTATCATTGAGAAGTAAACAACGAGCAAAGAGTCCCATTCAATCTTGAAGTTCGTTATATTAAGTCGATGGAACCAGCTGCAACCTATGTTACTCAGGCTCTTCACTTTGCCCCGCCGTGCTCATGTCCGACGCCTTCATTTTGCACTAGAGTAGCTATGTCAATGGGACTCTATAACTGAGTCCGAATAAGATACTAAAAAGCACACCACAAATTTTTTTTTCCCGCGCGGGGCCGGGGGTGTTTAGGGTTTGAGAGGTTTGATTGATTGTATCGTAATTAAAAAAGAAATGAAAAGTGAATGAAGTTATCATGATATTATAAACATGTATATAAATTATGAAGATACAAAGAAGTATGAAAGAATATTGAAGAACCTGATTTCCCCATCATACTGAATCTTTTACTAGACCAATAATTGCTCGATTTATGTGAATAACTCGGATTGAATAATGACCTCATTCTCGATCAAACCGGTTGAACTATTCAATCAGCTCCAAATTAAAAAAACACTGACAGTAAGTATTCCCCGAAGTACAGCCATAATTGAAACCATAAACAATAAAATAATAGAGGGGACAAATAGACAAGAGATTATTCTTTCCTCACCTAAGATACAAATTGGAGACCACATGTGATTTGGGCCAATAGATGTAGACATTTGGAATGTCTGCGTCTTCACGGTATACTAGCCAATTTGACAAAGCCTTAAGGCTCTGTTTGGATTGAAGGAAAGGGGAGGGGAGGAAAGTAAAGGAGAGAATTCTAGTACAAAAGAAAAGGAGAGTGGAGAAAATCAAAATCCATTCATTTTGTATGGATTAAGAAAGGAAAGGAAAAGAAACTATCATGCATTAGTTACAATTTTATTCATAATTTAAAAGTCTAATTCATAAACACATAAAAGATTTTTTATAAAATTTTAAAATTTTAATTAATCTTGATAACCTTTAAGTTACTTAAACCATCTTTAAAAGGCATATCTTCGGATATCTTTTGATTACATCCATAGTTGTAATTTTGAAAATTGTAGTACATTTCTGAACTTTTTTTCTTTCAAAATTTTATCTACGTTTGTTTACTAAACAATCCTCCTTAGAACCTAAAAGTGCTTTCAAGCAATCTAAAAAGCAAAATTAGTCAAGAAGAATAATTTAAAAGACACAAACAAAAACAAGACATTAAACACAAAATAAAAGACTCAACAAGACACTAAGTACAACAAACAAAAAACTTGACACAATAAATACAAGAAAAACAAGTAAAAATATCTAAACTAATAAAATTGTTCTTAGTACCGATATTGAACCAAAGCTTTCCCGACAACGGTGTCAAAAACTTAGTGAGGTTCTACCATATACTAAATTTTAATAAAAGCTAAACACTTTATTTTCTATAAGTATACATATCGTTTATCGAATATAGAGGATATTAAATGTCGATTTCATAGGGAAGATTGTGAATTACCAATAATTTTTAAATTTTTTATTATTTAGACTATCACAAATACAAGAAAATTAAATCTACACTACAAACATAAAATAACAGTCACAAAAATGACAATAGAAAGCTCTTAGGGTTGTAGAATTCTTTACTTTTCTTACAAGTGAAATTATCAATTAATTGAATATTATTATCTTGACTAGTTATGGCATAATTTCCTAATACATGTGAAATCTACTCTCATAGTAAATCAACTATACTTGTAGTTAATCCATATCTACTCTTGTGTTATGAAATTAATTACAATCTCCTTTCTTCTATAAAATTACATGGAACAAACCATCAAAATCACAAAAGTGTGCCCCTACTCCCGTGAGTGTATTCCCTAAGTATAACACTTTTTTGAACTAGTATTAAATTTCAATTCTCATTGCAAATTTAACACCTTGAAATTATCACAATTAATGGCTAGTTAATCATTGATTATAAAAGCAAAAGTGCTAAATAATTTATTCAAAATAACAGCATCAAATAACCTAGTACGACCCTACATATAAATTAGAAGTTCTAAATTGAAAAAAAAATGAAATTACATTAAAAAAAAAGAGAAAGAAAAGAAAAATAAAAATAAAGTTGCCGATGACGACCAGCGCTGGTCATGGCACACCAATCACCCTTGCAAGTTGATTTCCACGAAGTTTGGCGCCGGACATGCTCAGAAGTTTGTCCCTCCTGGCCTTGTCTTGTGATTCTTTGCACGCTCCATTTTGTCCATGAAACCTTGCGCAACCTGTTCTACATTAGGTATCATAGAATCCAAGAGAAAGACATTCAAATCATGAAAAGAACTTATTAGCATAATTTACCTCGTCTCACCCACGATAAGGTGACCTGCTATAGCTGTGACCATTTTATCACCACGAAAAGAAAAAAAAAAGAGTATATAAACACCGAAAATTAAGAAGACATGAGAGTATATTTGACCTTAAAAAATGGTCATTTTAAATTTGTCTTACACTCTTTTCCAATTTGTTCATACTCTAAAGGCAAACTGGTTTAAAATGGAATTTGTGAGGCCCCATGCCCAATTCGAGCATACCGGTAGACAATCCTATTTTTGAGGTGTTTTAGAAAAACAATTTTTATTAAACAGTCTAAAACTAAAGTAGCACATCTAGAAACAACCCACAAACACATTGAAAAACAGCCCACAGACAATTGAACCATTAATAATACTTACCCAGACACCATTCCATCTGGGTGATATTACATCGACATAGTACAACCATTAGAGACGAAACTAAACAAGGTTTCATTTAATCATGGGAAGAACATGCGACTGAAACAACCAAAAAAACAAAAAAAGGAGCATGTGATTGGAACTCCCACACTGCAGCAAATATAAATGCCATGTTAAATTGACAAATATTGATACACTCCCGGACAGGGGATGCCGGCAATATTGTTGCAGAATATTTATTACTTTGGAACCCAAATGATGTGATCCTCAGGAAGGAAATGGCAGATTGGAGCAGTTCCTGGCTTCACCTTTAGCAACTGAAAGGCCAAATGCTCTGAGTCCCATTGTGATGTATCCTTGTGGCAAACAGCCACAGCTTTAGCTTTAGCTTCATCTTCAGCAGCAGCCAAATTGGTCATATATGCATTACTCTGCGATGTGTGGCAGTAAAATACTGCGTACGGATACTTTTCCTTATGGCAAGAAACGACTTTATCAGCCGTGTTCAACTTGGCAACATCCTTAATAGTATATTTTCGGATTTTGGTATCTATTTTTTCTGCTTCAGTTGAAACTGCTCGAACATCTTTCCCCAGCTTGGAAGTAGTGAAATCAATCATTGACTCGAGTGAAGTCGCACAGTACTTGTCTTCCCCTTTTGTTCCAGGCATCTCGCACTCTGCAATTGTTTTCTTAATAGTTTCGGCTTCTTCTGATTGTGGCTTCAGTGAGAATTTGTTCAATATCTCAGGAACAGATTTGGAGGAAAAGGGAATGGAATCAGCAACTTGTCTTGGCAGGAATAGTGTAGTAATCTTTAGCGACTCAACAAACTCCAGATTCATGCTTGAGCCGCGGTGCAAATCCTTTCCAAGGAAGAATATTGTAATGTTTTTGTCATTGTAGAGTTGATCTTTAGTTGGATTTGTACCATGGCTATTCACCTGAGATTTCCTGTTATAAATTTGAAATTTTGAGTCTGGTAGGTTGCTGAAACTGATACCATGGCTGTTCAATTGAGATTTTCTATTATAAATTTGAAATTTTGAATCTGGTAATTTGCTGAAGCTGAAACCATGGCCGTTCACTTGTGATTTTCTATTATATATTTGAAACTTTGAATCTGGTAGTTGGCTGAAGCTGCTACCATGGCCGTTCACTTGTGATTTTCTATTATATATTTGAAACTTTGAATCTGGTAGTTTGCTGAAACTGCTACCATGGCCGTTCACTTGAGCTCTGGCATTATATATTTGAAATTTTGAATCTGGTAATTTGCTGAAACTGCCACTTCCAGAGGTTTTCCCTGTAGTTAATGCAATGGCAATGAGAAAATACCTTTTTAGCAGGGTCACAAACATAAAGTTTTAAGGAATGGAAGTCAGGTACTGATTTTCATTCAAGACAGTACCTGCTCATCAATGAAATAATTCCTTTGTTAAAACAAAAGGCATGCTAGATTAATTACTATATACATAACCTACTACTGCAAGCCATATAAGTATTGGCTCTTTTAGTTCTTTTCAGGCAATGTAAAAGTTTAATTAATTTTTGGTGAATTACAAAAAAATAAAATAAAATAAGTGGGCCATCATGGTGGATTGGATATAGCGCATACAATCACTTGTACATATTCTATCCTCGGAGGGCTCTAGTTGCATATCTGATATAAAGGACATAATATCATGCTTTAGGTAGGTGACAAAATATATTATGTTATACCCATATATCAAAATTTATAATATAAAAAACAAATTATAACCAATTTATTTTCTTCCATTTTTAGAAAAAAAAAATCTTTCTCCTATCATATCGTGTACCGCTAAAATTGTTGGCTGCATTTAGATTAGCATTTTTCATAAACTTTAACGTAAATTGAAAAAAAAATCTCTATAATATATGTTTTTAGAGTTCTCAAAATTATTAAAAATCATCATCATTTTCCTCTTCTATTATCCGCTAGCTAGTTGATAGGGTGCTAATTGTTAGTAATTTTATTAGTAATTTTCCCTTTTATCCCTGCCAAATATTGTGTTAATTGCGGATATTTACTTATATTTGGTTTGTGGACTTAATTTCAGAAAGGGAACAAAAAACTATCAAACCTGAGGGTCTTTTTGGAAATAATTGAGACTTCAAACGAGCCACAGGCCAGGCCACAGTGCTGAAAAGAACTGGACTCCTATTCCTTTATTTTTGTTGACTAAGAAGACTACAACCAGAGACTTCGGCAGAGAGAATTTCAAGGCTTGGACCTTTGACTTCGGCAGGGACCACAGAGGAAAGGAAAAGGGCATTAGTTAGTTGGCTCTTAAGAAGAAAGTAACGTACAGAGATGGGAAACAAGAAGCAATTCGGCAGAGTTCCCTTCTTGGACTTTGACTCTTAATTCGGCGGGATCCACGCACTAGGAGAGGCATTAGTCCTCTTTGGCTTTAAAAAGGAGCAGACGTATAGAGATCTGGAATGAATAGTTTTTTTATCATTAGTTCTTATCGAAGCTTTTAGCATAGTTTTAGTTTTCTTTTCTTTCTTGGCTCCTTTAATGGCCTGGACCTCAATTAAATTACTTGGAGATTTTCTCATGAGGCGTGGCTAAGTTTCTCATCTAGTCAAAGGTCAACTTGAAGGCGCGGTTCCAAATATCTGTGAGATCGAATAAATTTTATTTGTTTCTTTTATTCGTTGGTATTTGTACGTTTTCTGATTTAATTATTTATGCTTGTTATGTTATTTAAATGTCAAGGGCCCGATATTCAAATTAACCTAATGAACTAATGCCAAATTAATTGATCGAATCCGTAATTGTTTAATTGATTAATACCAGTGGCGACTAGCGTGATTGGTTTCATGTTAGGGAAACGTATGATCTAACTTAAACAAACTCTCGTAGCGTGTTTGTTGGTTAGGATTGAGTTTTTCTAATTATTAATGCAATCGAGTAATTAAATCCTATGGTCGTACCTAGGGTTATTTCTTGGTTAGAGAAATAGTTAACGGTCGTACCTTAACTATCGAGAAATTAAGAAAAGGCTGGTTGTTCATCGCGTGTATGACAACTATAACCAATCTGGTAATGAGTAATCGAATTATCTTTGCATCAATGATCAGTTGAATGGACGGTGTCTAAAAAGTTGCACCTTTGGCTAGAGTCATATTGGTTATTGATTAATTTCTATTTATTTCTACTAGTTGTTTTATTGGTTAGTTAATTAGTTATTTTATATTCTCCAAAAAAAGCCCCCATACTTCGGACTCTAAAAGAAATAAATTATCCCCAATCCCTGTGGATTCGACCCCCCATACTTTGGACTTTAAAAGAAACGAATTATCCCCAGTTCCTGTGGATTCGACCCTACTCACCGCTATATACAAAATTTGTAATTTTCTTGAGTAGGTAATTATTATTGCACAGGTTCGACACCCTGTCAATTTTTGGCGCTGTTGTTGGGGACTGGTGCCAGATTAATTTATTTCTTTTTGAGTTCATCTTGTTTTTATTTTTTTATTTATTTTTCTATTATTTTTTTATATATAGTTTATGGCTTCTAACACTCCGTATTTTGGTGATAGATTGGATTTTGTTTCCTGGGAAGGCAATGAGACTTGTTTTTTTGCTAAGTTTGCATATTCAGAGGCACTAAACTCTATTAGAGAAAGAATGGCTGCTGCAACCTGTAAAATTTGTTATGCCAGGGATCATTCAACCGGTATGTGCCCCGAATATCAAGATAATCTGAGTGTCCCACTCAATAATTATAGAGATTTTTCACCCTGGTCTCAAACGTGGTATAACCCTAATCCAAACGGGTATGATCAAGAATGGTAGGATAACTCCAATTATAATTATACAACAGGGCCAATGAATTTTCAGCAGTATGAGTCTCAAGAATCATCATCTATGTCAGGTATGTCTCTTGAAGAAATAGTTGAATCAATAGCTACTAATACATATCAATTCCAACAGGAGACACAAATGAGAAATGAGATGATGAAGGATGCAATGAGTAATCTGGAAGATCAAATATGTCTATTGACATCCAGAATAAATCGATTGGCTTCTCAATTTGAAGAATTGCCCTCGAAAACCATTGTTGATTTTGAAGAAAACAAGAGTGCAATTTGCTTGACTAGTGATGAGGAGATGCAAGAGTGTCAAAATGAGAAATCTACAGATGCAGTTGAAAAAGAAGCCGAAAAGGAAGAAATGGAACCCCAACCGCAACCCATTCAAGTGAAAGAATCCAGTGAAGAATCATCAAATGTGATGACACCACCTCCATTCCCTAACCCGCATTTTCTTAACTCTTACTCCATGATTTCTGTTAATGAGATTGATTTTGTTATACCGGAAGTTTTTGAGTCTCATGGCAGAAATAAGTTAAGAGTAGCTATGGTCAAATATCTTGAACCATTGAGTGCTCTTGATAGAGGAGTGGATGAAGAATTGAGATCACTGCTTGATTATTTGGCGCCATCTACTAGTTCACGGAAGATCGTAGCTCGTGTGCTGAAGGATTACTCTATTTACGAGGGCTATCAGGACTATATAGAGGATGAAACACTAAAACAAGCCACGAGATTTTATCCTCCGTGAATAAATATGGCAATGTCTAGCCAAAAACATAAAAGAAATGCGCTTTTTGGGAGGCAACCCAAATATTAATTTTATTGTTTTTCGTTGTTCATTACTTTCATTTTGTCGTTTCTCATTTGGGTGGTAGTCGGTCTTAATATTTTCCTCTACTGTGATCAGGAAGTGCAATCTTGGCATGCCCACGCGGTGTTTGTATCTCCTAAGGTCAGTGGACGTTTATCAATCTTGGCGTGCCCACGCGGTGTTTGACGACCCAAAAACTAAAAAATAAAAAATAAAAAATTCAAAATAAAAACATTTTCCGTTTTACACCTTCAGTTTTGGTTCTCACAATTCGAGTTTTGAAATTTGAGTGTGCAATAAAAAAAAAATTTCCCAAAAAAAAAAAACTATTTTTTTCTTTTTTTTTCCTTCTTCTTTCTTTCTTTCTTTTCTTTCTTTCTTTTTCTTCTTCTTCTTTCTTTCTCTTTTCTTTCTTCTTCGCCGCTGCCCTGTTCGCCCTTTCTTTCTTTCTTTTTCCTCTGTGCACGCCGCCATTCCTGCCAGCCATGCTCGTGCCAGTTGCCGCCGCTGCCTCCCAAAGCTACGGACGCACGCCATCCGCTGCCCGTTGCTCTGTCCAGCAGCCCCTTGCGCGCAACCCAGCTGCCACCGCTGCTGTTCACCACCAACTCTGCACTACCAGCTCGTCTCCACCTTCAGCAGCTCCAAAGGCCGCCGCTGCTCCCCTGCCCACGACCGTCCACCCACAGCTCGCTGAGCTCCTCCGTTCCAAGCTCCACCCGCCACCTCCACTCACCAGCGCCTTTGACCACCACCAGCTCTCCTTCTCACGCTGGTCGCCAGCTAGCTTTCCCTACCGCAATCTCGCACTCTCTTTCTCCTCGCATCACCATCACGCAGCTGCTCCACCTCGCGCAACCTGCTGCTACTGTCCGCCATCTCCTTGCCGCGCGTCACCACCTGTCAAGTTCTGACAGGTGGAGGTATTGAAATTTCTGCCTCGATTAGTATTTTTCGGGTCCTTAAATTGCTGGAATTTGAGCTTTTGTGTTTGGGTTTCTTGATGGATAAAAGAGGGTGTTGATTTGGACATTTTCTAGGGTAAATTTTGGACAGATTTGGGTTTAATTGCTACCATATGTGGGGATATTTTCAGATATTTATTGAATTGTTGACCGTTTGATTTAATTCCTTCCTGTGTATACACCAGTGATACTGGTTGCGGTGTTGCTTACAATTCTTAAATTTTCTCGAATTCTAATCGGTAGTTGCTGGAATTGCTTGTTTGCTGGGATTCTTAAAATTCTTAAGGCTTGGTATCTTGAAGTGGGTAATTGAATGTCCAATTTGTGACATTTGTTGAGTTTCACTTGCTCCAATTGGTTGAATTCATTGCTCTGTTGGGGTCCCTGTTGGTATCACTTGACTTCTGCTTTGTTAGTTTCTGTATCGTGCCCCTTGATCTTATTTTGACTGAATTGGAGACTCAGTGCATATTCATTCAATTTGCTGTGTTGTTGGGATATTTGTCTAGTCTTTGGGTGGCTAACTTGCACATGTTGTTGATTGGGTTGGCCGTTTGAGTTGTTTTATTTTTTGTGGAGTGCACCAGTGGTGTTGATTGGAGCATTCAGCCTACAGTTGTGGATTTTATTTGGTTGGCTGCCTGTTTGATTGCTAAATAACGAACCTTGTGATTCAGTTATTGTCCGACTTTTGAACTACTATTGCTGGCGTTGCCCATTTCTTGGGTCATTAGCTA